TGCACGCGAGCGCGACAAAAGGGCAACGTTACGCCCTTTACTTCCTTTCCCTTTTGGATACGCGAGAGCGCGACGTGGCTCTGAAACGCGACGATTAGATCGCGGGTAATCCGATATAATTGAAATGTCCTATGTGACACGATAATCGCCGTACTCCTACTATTTTGTCAGCGATATGGAAGGGGTACTAGCGAGCGTGCTCTGTTATGCGGCGCGATATTATAAATGTGAGCGGAGTAGGATCGGTGAATACAAGTACCAAAGATCTCGTAGTGTGCCACGTTCGTTCGTGCTGCAACTTGGCTCCGACAAAGTTATACAGTTTTTGTTTACCCTAATTAACCTTGGATCATCACCACAGAATTAATCGGTGACGTGACTGTATCTGGACTTTCGGCAATCAACTGTTATGGGTTCAACCGTCAGTAACTTGGGGTAGGTCAAGAATTATCTCGGTGCTTTCTCTATTGTGCAACTCGTTTATCACGCTCGATTGCTTCGTCGAGGTCGTTAAACGGCACGATCTGAGCCGTAGAGCGCCGTGATAATTTCTTCGGAATCTCCGTAATCGCGAGACAATCTTCGCGATTGAAATTATAATGGTTTTAACGTGTTGAAACTGTGATAACCAACTTGTAAAATTGTAATAACCAGCTTTAAAAATAGAAAGCGTTTTTCGCAGAGTCACAGTAATATTATCCGTGCCGCAGAGAAGGAATTTGCGAGCAATCCCCTTTCGCTGCAGCAGTTAATTTTAATAAAGTTACTTGATCCTCATTGTGACGATGTCAGGCCTTTCAGTGTTACGCTGTACATTTTAATGTGACATTATTCAAGACGTCCCTTGAATATATCTTTTTTCTCTCTTCTGTTTTCAACTCCTCTGTTTTTAACTATTCTTCTCGACTGTGTGTTCATAAGATTCTTACATAAGGAGACACACCAAAATTTAAACCAAGTTCCGATTGCAGAATAGAGTTCGTACAATTAAGTGTCGCACAAGTTGTCTTGCAACGTGTTTAATTCCTCCGCAATCGTTTTAACCTTACGTGTCTATTTTTTTTTACTGCTTTATCACGAAGCTTGCTTGCGTGAGATAGAAAGATGTAAAAAATAAACGTAGTTACACCCATATGTCATCCTGTTGCATAATGATGACATCAGCGATTTTTATGCAACATTGCTGAGTGCACGTTTGAATACATGTTACGTGAATAGAGACATCCGATTTCTCGCCTCTTACATGACATCTGTATTTTTTTAACCGTCTTGAAACGATCGACTGAGAAAATATGCAATCTCGATGAAACTCAATGAAATCTTATTGTTAGAAATTTACATAAAAGATATATGTTTCTCATAATGACGCTTGCGTCTCTAAAATAATCGTCCGACATTTACTATCGGTAACAAAATCATAAAGTATCAATGAAGAAAGAAACGATCCTGCATTGTTTTGTCAATATTTTTTTCTATCTCCGGCAATGCACTTTTGTATAATAAAGAAGTCTTACGTTTGTTATAAAAATAAAGAATCTCGCAACAGAACTACGCAACATTCATTTTTTACTGAAAACTCTAATTGTAAGACAATTGTTTACGATGACACTTCGCGTCATTATGTTAAAATTAACGTCAACGCATATTCTACAATTGCGGCTAAACAGTTAAAGTAACAGAAATATTAGAATTGACGGGCAAGAAAAATCACAAATGAAATTGACTGCTCGAGTATGATTTAGGTCAGGAACGTCGAAACGTCGATATTTGCCACAACATGTGCAACCGGTATGAAATACTGTAAAAAAACTAAACGGTAACAAAACAGTGACAGCATAGGTAAAAAGCGTACTTTTCACATTTAAATGTAATTGTCTCTTTGAAGTCCGGATTATAAAATATAATCTATGACACGAATCGTCGTTCCAGCCTCTTTCCTGCCTTTTCTAACAGTCTTCTGATATTTTTCTTATATCTTCTTTTATCGCGCCGATAACAAAAAGAGCTACCAGAAAGTGAAATAACTCCAACGAATTCATATATTTCAGTTATTTATGTATATCAATACTTTTTCTATATTTCTAGCATCGAACATTAAAATGGTCGATATAGTAGTATCAATTTTTTATACAGTTTAATTATTTAACGCTCGTATCTATGCCCCAGTTCGTAGAAGATAAAAAAGACCTGTACAATATTGAACGAATGCAATTAAAATATTCCATACTTTTTGTTGTAGTAGATACAATAAAGGAAAAAAACATTGCTCCCAAGAAACAAATGTCTTTTACTCTTGAACTAAAAAAATAGAAGACAAGTGATTGATTGTCTTCGATTCTTCGTAGAATTGTATCGTCTTGCATTAGCCTCGATATAAAACAAGGGATTAAAAGAAATTGTAGCTGCATTATTGGTGAAGTTAATTAAACGAATACAGTATAAATTTGTATCAAAGACTGTTTTAAAAACTTTTAACTAATATTTTAATAATTTGTAACTGTAATACATAGTAATTGTGCATATATCTTTTCCACATAGTAAATATAAGGAAATGTTAATTCTTTTTTTCAGTTAGAGAAAATAAGTTTATCAAAATTCACCTTCCATAGTACAATATAATCCCAATAAAGCTTAGTTCCACAAGGTTAATAAATAATAAACGAGCAAAGAGCAATAAATTGCCAAATCAATTTCCGGCTTTCCAAATTAAGATTGCGAAATGTATCACAAAATAAGCTTCCACGAGCTTATTTTAAATTACGCTCCTCGCAGTGCGCTTAAACATTGATGCTTAGTTACGATTACGTTACAAAATTACTCAGTCAAGTAGAGATTAAACGTCGTGCGCGGATGTGAGTTGTCGGCATATCTTAGCATTATGATCTTTGGCGTAGTATTTCAGCGCGTAACAACCACGTTATTCATGAACCTGAATACATTAATGTTACGAAATGTGATTGCATACGGCGTGTTAAACAAGGCTGGTGAAAAACAAGGTTCATTGCTAATGACGGTACGCCGATGACAGAGAAGCATAAAAAACGAGCATTAAATCATTGCTTGGAAAAGAGCATGAAATCTTAGAAAGGACAAATTGTTCTGTCATTTGTTAATGACATCAGCAATTATTGATCGTACGATCGCGGGACATAAATAATCTCGCAATGGAAGTATGATTATGTAAACTTGTTAGATTGCATGTTCGGTTATGCTACATAGATTCGCATCGAAAATATCACTCGGTCGTCATACTACACGAAAAATCTTCAATTTCAGATATCCTTTTTCACGTGTATCTATCCTTTTATTCTCAGATTGAAAAATTCTTCTAGTTGCTCATCCACGCACAGCGTCCATAAATTCTCGGTTTGATTCATCATTCTGTATCTTTTCTTATTTCCTAGTTTTGGTTTTAAGAAATCCGTTATTTAGACATGCATATCTAAAATAGGACTTAAAAACGTCGTAAGGATATTTTAGGCACACGTGTAGAAAGACAGGCTCAAGCCTAATTTAAGAGAAAGAAGAAGAAAAAGTAGTTTGGGCAATTATAAAAAAAAATAAACAGCCACATTGCGGTACAATTCGACGAATCGTTAACCTGTTCCTTTTTTATTGATTTTTTATTCACCTAGATTTTACAGTATTATATAATTTTTTTATTTCCCGAATCTCCGTTTTATTGCCGCTTTTTCTGTTTATCTCTATGTAACTAATTAATTTCTCTTTCTATTTCTATATTATTCTATTATACAGGGTGTACCAAAATCACCGGATATCCTTTTAATCACAGATTCTTTAGAAAATTTCAAGACAAAAATTCTAATACAAAAATGTCGAGGCTATAATAGTTTTTAAATAATAAGCGAGTATATTTCACAAATGATAGGCCTGAGAATTCGCGCGCTCATGGACGGCGACATGACAAATGATAAAAGTGTCCCTACAAATATCGTCCTTCTTATTTAATTCAAGTAGAAATTTGCAACGTGTTGTAACTTCAAAGTGTTGCAGCTGTCAAAGTGATGGATAAATATCAGTTACCATGAAAGTTAATTGTTACTGTGTCAAAAACACATTCATATAAACACTTTTATCATTTGTCATGTCGCCATGTCTGAGCGCGCGAAATCTCAGACCTATCATTTGTGAAATATAATCTCTTATTATTTAAAAATTTGTACAGCCTCGACATTTTTGTATTAGAATTTTCGTCTTGAAATTTTCTAAAGAATCTGTGATTAAAAGGATATCCGGTGATTTTAGTACACCCTGTATATTAAAAAATATATTGTTATGTACACAGAACGTGTGTATGACTTTAAACGTTTCTTCTCTCGTGCGAGATACGCGAAGTTACACGGTGATTATATAATGATTTGTAGACTGCTACGCAGCATTAAATCATATTCGCAACTGCATGCAATCTTGTAAATACCTTTTGTTATCTTTCTACTGTGGATATATCTCACAAAATGCTGCATAAGCCTACGGCCTGAGGCAACAAGTTCTCATTAATATTCTTATCCTCCAGTGTCGCGTTAATCTCGCGTGTTAATCTGCTGTTTACGGCAATAAATCACTATCAAAACTTCCTCGGTTTTAACTTGAGCTTTACAAAGAGATACACCATGCAAAAATGTAACGATGGCAAAAAATATGAGTTCTAATTTCGTAATATGTATTACATTTAGATAGCAATAATAGATCAGCTAGTTGAGCACGAGATGTCTTGCGTGTTACTACGTAACGTATTATCTACGTAAACAGCATATTTCGTAATACGTATCATACTTATATCATACTTGTTGTTTGAATATCTATAAATCCTACAATTTGTCCCGAAATAGTCGGTAGATGAAAGAATCTTTCTCTCGACTCCGTTTTTTCAGCTACGGAAAAATGTCAAGCAATAAAAATACGACTCCCATTTACTGTCCCACGAATATCGTCTTTATAACGAATTTGCATCTAAGACAGAAATATACCTCGTACCTGTACTCATATCTATACGTTCCACTGCCGCATACTAAAAAATTCACACTTATTCAAGTGATGGATTTCAATTATGCATCACACGCGTATGTGCCCAATGTAAAATGTTATTACTTTTTCATTTAAAGGCCGTGAAAAAATCATTTCGCTCAATATGCGCTAACATTTAAATAAACGTGAACACATCTATGAGCTTATTTGTCAATTATTTAGCTTCTTATCCTTCTTGTGCATCGACATTTAGCTTGCACGACCTCATCGTTGCTGCTATAACTGTTGCTTCACGTGAAACAAAAAGAAATTATGATATCTGATAATTTTCCTTTCTTGATATTTTAAAAGGCGCACATATATCTGATAAGAGTCGTGTGCATATCGGTGGACAAAGGATTATCAGTGCGTACATTGGTACAGTTACATGCAAAGATGCCAAAGATAATGTAAGTTTTCATTATCGCTATAAATAATTCATGATACACGACTTATACACGTACGTGCACAATAAAAAAAATTGTGTACAGCTGCATTATCTATTTCCGGAAGCACACTTGACATATACTTTAAGATGAAAATGTTACGATAAATAACCATTAACATATTTATCTAACGTTTATATTGTGAAAAAAGTGCAAATAAAAAGTATATAAAAATATTTCTTCTAATGTTTCTCTTATGTTGAAACCAAAATTTTCACAAAATAGTAAAATATTTAAACAGTTAAAGAGTTAAATATAAGTGTTTGAAGTAAAGCTTGATCTTCAGTGTTTACTTCAAACTTGCATGTTAATGATTGCACGTTAATGATTATGGCATAAGAAAGGCAATATATCCTATCACATATCTATACCACCTCGATTAACAATAATGTTAACGTTCCATTTAAACTAATCTGCACTTCGTTGCAGGGATACCGGAAAATCCATTGATTTTACCATAAATGGAAAATCATATACAAGTATGTATTCTTTAATATTATAGATAATATAGTTAAAGACGAAAAGTTGCAATTCTATTAAGTAACAAATTAAATAATTTTAATTACACAACGGTAGAAACCACAGAATTTAATTGCATGCATATAATATAATTACATAAAGTAGGAAAACGTAGTTGCGTCGGCAGAAACTATTACATTCAGTTACGAAAATGTAATTACGACGGCGGAAGCTTTAACGTTCAATTGTAAAGATTTAATTATGACGAGGGACTTTTAAAGCGTCGCGAAATTAAAGTTGATACAACAAGCTTCGTGTCTGCGTTTTATGAATTATGGTTATCGTTTCGACTTTACAATGGCCATATCGCTTCTAGTATCGGGGGACATACCGGCCGACACGTCCCTCAACGTCTATATTCGCGACTATGCGAAACTCCGCGGCACAAAAGCTATGTGCCACGAGGGTGGCTGCGGCGCCTGTATCGTGGCTGCGGAAATCAAGGGCGAGACAATAGCTGTGAATTCCTGCCTGGTGCCGATATTAATCTGCGAGGGGTATGCGTGCATCAATCGATAAATTACACTCCAATTTCACGTTAAAGAAACAAAGATTTATTTTACGACGTTACACGCCTTTTCCCGTTAGAAAGTAATCTTTTGTTTAAGTTTCTTCTATCATAATTTAGATATTTTAGTTCTTTTAATTTCATTAGGATTATATTAGTATTATATAGTGTGCGTATTCGCAAACAAATTCGCAGATGGTCGATTCACACGATTGAAGGCATAGGAAATAGGCTAGATGGTTATCACCCGATTCAAGCTGCACTCGCTGGGAAAAATGGCTCGCAATGTGGATATTGCTCTCCTGGCATGGTAATGAATCTTTACAGGTATGTACGGTATAGAAATTATTAAAAAATAATTATAAAATTGCCACATTAAAGAAATAATACAATTTTAAATCTACAAATCTTTTTCAAACTTTTGACGTAAACCTGTGATAAACTTTTTCACGCGCAACCGATAATGTCCGAGAAAAATTAGCAAATAAGTCATCAGTCAAAACGATCGGTTACCAAATAATGTATAAGCAAATCATAAATTAAAACTGTATATATGAATAACAGTGTGCGAAAGTGAACATATTTTACACTTAATAAACTGTTGCCTAAAAACATGTAAATGCCTAAGAATATGTAAATAAGATGTAATGTATGCATAATGTTAATATATTATTTTCAATTCAAAAATGCAATTTATTATTTTCAGCCTTCTGCAAAACAAGAAAGTAACTATGCAGGAAGTTGAAAATTCCTTCGGTAGTAACATCTGTCGTTGTACAGGCTATCGCCCGATTTTGGATACGTTCAAGGGATTTGCCAGTGACGCAACTCCATCACTGGCGAAGGATATTCGCGACATTGAGGTGCTTGCGTGAAATATTTCATTTCATCCGTAAAAGTCTCATTCTTGTATTCCCGAATTACTATCTTGTTGAAATATTATCTTTTCATACACAATTCTGTTTTATGTGTACAACTGTATCTCCTGCATATTGATATTATGGACAACTCTCGTATCACATAAATGTCATCATAAATACAATGACGAACTTTGCAGGAGATCTACAAAATCAAAACCTGCCCGAAAAGTGGAATGCCGTGTAAAGGCACTTGCGACAATAAACATTTCAAAGATGGGAAGACGGATACGTTGGATATAAAGTTGGAGGACTCGGAATTCTATAAAGTTTATTCAATCGAAAACCTATTTGCGGTATTTCAACAGAAACCGAAGGCAACATATATATTACACGGCGGAAATACAGCACATGGTAATTTGCCCCCAACGTGAATGATATAGGAACAAATCAATACAAAAAATGTAAAATAAAAAATATATACGTGGCAATTTAATAACTTTTATAGATCTATTAAAATTCTTTAAAAAATAATATGATTCCTCAATGAAGCATTTATGATATATTATATTATATATCTCTTTTTTAGAAATGCAATCAAATGAATGTTTTTTTACCTACAAATCAATGTTTACTTTATGACAAGGATTTTGATATTTAAATGGAATGTACATTTCTATTATATAAATATAGAATCAAAATTATTGTGCCACGTTATTTTTTCAACTCTTAAATGTATCGTTAAAAAATAATACGGTGCCATGGATATAAAACATTCTGTATATTCATTATTTCCATTCAATAAATAATCTTTCCGCTCGAATAATAGCGATACCGTGATGCCAAACGCGCGGTATTAAAATAAATTTGCAGAATTCTGTGTAATTTTAATTAACAAAAGTAGAAATCAATATTGAATAATTCCCTTTGTTGCAAATCTGAATAAAAAAAAAGTACATAATACCGAGAATATAATCTACAGGTGTTTATCGGGCGGACAAACACGATCTTCGCATCGATATAAACGACATCCCCGATTTGCGTCGCATCGAAAAGACTAAAGAGTCACTGACCCTGGGCGGAAACGTATCTCTCACCACGGCGATGGAGACCTTTCAAAAGTATTCATCCGAGGTCGGGTTCAAGTATTTGCGTCACCTGGCCCATCATATCGATCTGATTGCCAGCGTGCCGGTGCGTAACATCGGCAGCATCGCCGGCAATCTGATGATCAAGCACGCGCACCACGAGTTCCCGTCCGATTTGTTCTTGATGCTGGAGACGGCCGGTACCCAAATACATATCCTCGAGGCACCGGGTGCCAAAAAGAGTATGATGCTGCAGGATTTCTTGAAGACAGATATGCGCCACAAGATCATCTACAGCGTAGTGCTGCCGGCGTTATCCAACGATTACGAATACAGATCCTACAAGATCATGCCTAGGGCCCAGAACGCTCACGCTCACATCAACGCCGGCTTTCTCTTCAAACTCGACGGAGGCGGCAAGGTAACGAAATCCTTTCGAATTATTCGATTTACATTAGTATTACTCACTCGTTCAGCATATTTGCGATATTTCACGGGAAGGTGCTGGAGAAACCTAACATCATCTTCGGCGGCATCAATGAGCATTTTCTGCACGCAAAGAACACAGAGCAACTGCTAGTAGGTAAATCTATCCTCGACAAGCAAGTGCTGAAGACAGCTTTGGAAACGTTGCATAACGAACTGCAACCCGATTATGTGCTGCCGGATTATTCGCCGGAATTCCGCAAGACTCTTGCCGAAGGATTATTCTATAAATTTGTCTTGAGCATCAAACCGGAGAATGTGAATTCGAAACTTCGCAGCGGAGGTCCCCTGTTAAAGCGAGATCTCTCTTCAGGTAGGCATGAAGTAACCGTCAGATTTTTGAGAATATATCTTTGTTTCTTTAAGTATTCCTGTGTCGTCGAAGATTTAAATTCGCCTTCTTTTCTTAGCTACCAGCTACTACGTATGTCAGTAACGTTAATCGTCTCGTTTTACGAACTTGTCTTGCGAAATTTTATGATTTCAAATCGAATATTGCAATTCGTCTTTAGAAAACGATTATGCTAAAAAAATAGCAAAGTATATATTCGATTTGCTTTGGAAAAATTGTGAGACGTTTCAACTGATTATTTAAATTGAAAAAATCGAATTACAGGCACACAGGACTATGACACGGACAAAAATGTATGGCCGGTGAACAAACCTATCGTGAAGATGGAGGCGATCCAGCAAACATCGGGCGAGGCTCAGTATTGCAACGACCTACCACCGTATCCTGGAGAAGTATTCTGTGCTCTCGTACTTACGAAAGTCGGCAATGGCAAAATAGATAGCATAGATGCGAGCAAGGCACTTGCTATGAAGGGTGTAGTGGCGTTTTTCTCCGCCAAGGACATACCCGGCAAGAATTTGTCCATCTCAGCCGACAGTCAGCTGATAATGCTGATAAATGACGAGTTGTTGTTCGCCGAAAAGGACGTTCTCTATTCCGGTCAGGTGGTCGGTGTGATTGCCGCCGAGACACATAATCTTGCTAATGAAGCCGCAAAATTAGTGGAGATCAAATATAGCGAGACTCTAAAGAGGAAGCCGGTGATAACTATTGAGGATGCGCTCGCCTCCAAGGACGAGACCAGATTTATGCACAGCATGAGCGTTCCAGCGAAGACGAAAGGTAGAAAACAGTAATGCTTGAGATAGACGATAGAATTAAAAACTTTCGAATATGATTATTTCAGAAAAAGAAATAAAAACAATTGCAAATATAATTAGAGAAATTATATTATCTGCATTGTTGCAACATCGTCAAAATAACTGCTAATCAGTAGATTTGTACAGAAATTATGTAATAAAAAAATCTTTTAGAATATAAAAAGCAATCTTTTTATAAACATTTTCTGTTTTTTTTCACAGGAAAGAATGTTAAACAAACGATAAAAGGCGTTTTCACTTGCGGCAGCCAATATCACTACACTATGGAAACTCAGTCCTGCGTTTGTATTCCCGTAGAAGATGGTATGGACGTCTATCCAACATCGCAATGGCCGGATCTCATTCAAGTATCAATCGCGAATTGTCTTGGCGTTAAAAATAACAGGTAATTCATTAATATCTCACGATTGTCTCTGGGAGAATATTACCTAATAATTATAATAACTATATGTCAATACATTGTGCCGGAATATATGCTCAAATTCTCTCTAAAAAATTTAAGTACAACAACATACTGGAATTCTATTTTGAAATATTTAATATTACCCTATTGGTCAGATTAATAGAAATACAATTTGTGAATTAAATTACCATAATAATGGCAGGAATTTAATCTTCATTGTAGTATCAATGTCCAAGTGAGACGAATCGGCGGTGGATACGGAGCGAAAATCTCGCGGAACGCGTTATTCTCATGTACCTGCGCGCTGGTATGTCACAAACTGAATCGCCCAGCGCGATTAATCTCGACTATCGAGAGCAATATGCAAGCGCAGGGCAAAAGAGTTGCTACGCGTCAAGAATACGAAGTTGGGATAGATGATGAGGGAGTTATTCAATACTTTGACTCGAAACACTGGGGCAACTGCGGCATCAACTTCAACGATCCTCACGCTTTCGTTACAGTACATCACATGGTTAAGTATGTATCGAAAATTTAGCAGTTTACAATTAGCAATATATATAGTGACTCTGAAAGACCACCCACTAATAACGTGGCGTTGTGTCTTATCGGATTTATTAATTTTATTAATTTTTCAAGTTTGCACGCGTTAACAATTGCTATAAATATTTACAGTTGTTACGTCAACGACAACTGGACCATCAATGGATTCGAAGTCCGAACCGATTTACCGTCAAACACATACTGTCGAGCACCAGGATCCACGGAAGGAGTAGCCATAATCGAACATATAATGGAACACATCGCGAAAGTGACGAACAAGGATCCGCTAAAAGTCAGATTGGCGAATATGAACGATGTGGATAAGGCCGCGTTAGAACCCATGATAAAGGATTTGTCGAAATCGGCCGATTACGAGAAGCGAAAGCGGGCCGTTGAGACGTTCAACAATGAAAATCGCTGGAAGAAAAAGGGCATCGCCCTGGTACCAATGAAATATCCATTCCAATATTTCGGTCAGTTTAATGCTATGGTGTCCGTTTGCGCTCGTGATGGTACGGTTTGCGTGACGCACGGTGGCATTGAATGTGGCCAAGGTATAAATACCAAGGTACGTTGTAAATGAAGATTACTTCCCAATTAATCTTATTAAATTTAATAAATTTTTTAAAATTATTTTTATGATAATTAATGATTTTATCAAACTCAATTAAATAAAATCGTAGGAACGTTTCGGAAGGAAGATTTCAGTTTACGTTCATAATTTCATTTCGACAACCGTTGTACATTTTTATGAGTCACCTATTGTTGGCATACGATTAATTAATTGCTTGTATTTTGCTCCTATTTATATAAAAATAATATTCTTTTTAGGTTGCTCAAGTAGCGGCCTACACTTTGGGTATCGATGTAGATTTGGTTAGCGTTAAACCAACAAATACTATAATAACACCCAACAATACGGTTACGGGAGGCAGTATTACTAGCGAGGCCTCTGCATATGTAAGAACTCAATTTAGTTCGCCCCCGACGAAGAGTGACGTGACGCCTAACGAATTTATTATTAACCGAGCGTGTTGATTTTAGGCCACGATTCAAGCTTGCAAACAAATCCTGAAAAGACTCGAACCGATAAAAAAAGATATGAACAATCCAAGCTGGAAGGAACTAGTTTTTGCAGCGTATCTAAAGGATATTGATTTATGCGCGCGTCATATGTGAGCATTATTTAAGTCACGTTTAATGCACTAATGTAATAATAATTTTTCATACCCCGTAAATATTTTGTCCTCCAGTTTGATGTATTTCTACAAATATCGTTCTGGTTTTCTATTTGAATCGCATATGTATTTATCATATTTTTTGTAAGAATTGGTAGTTGTAATAAATCGTGCAGGTTAAATATCTCATCTAGGGTAAGATTACCAAATTCGGATTAAATACCAAATGCGGATCAACAATTCGATGAGTCGCTAATAAGCAACATAAAAACGCGACGATGCCTTTTATGATATCGACAATATAGCATAAAGTTGTAAATATTGTATATAAAAGAGCAAAAGTAAAGTAAATTACTTTAAAATGTCGCTTTTTTTAGCGACTCATTCAATTTTTGATCCGTATTTGGTATCTGATACGAATTTAGTCATATTACACTACACATTCTGAATTTGAACAATATTGATACCGTAGTGATTTCAATTTGGTTTAATCCATTCCATAAATCATGATGTTTACACTTACCTCTAGGTACGCGGCTGCTCTGGATGACACGATCAAACCTTACTCCATTTACGGTGTTACTATTGCTGAAGTAGAGATCGATCTGTTAACCGGCCAGCACATTGTCAGAAGGGTCGACTTGGTTGAAGACGCCGGGATAAGCTTGAATCCGGAAATCGACGTTGGCCAGGTGGAAGGAGCTTTCGTAATGGGAATAGGCTACTGGACTTCTGAAGATCTGGTGTACGATCCTAAAACAGGAGTATTAACAAATGACAGAACCTGGGTAAATTATTTTCATTCAGTTGTGAGGAAGCTAATAACGCGATGATATACCATTTTTCCGTTTCACTGATATTGTACTAGACACAAATGATTAAATTAGTTAAAACATTCTATTTTCATCGTAGAATTATAAACCTCCAGGAGTGAAGGATATCCCTGAGGACTTCCGCATATATTTGCGTAAGAACTCGGTCAACACATCTGGTGTTCTGCGTTCAAAAGGTGAGATATTGTATCAATTTTTGTATTCGAATGCCTGTTTACCATATTATTAAAGAGCTGAATATTTCCTCTGTGACCGTACGAGAATATTTGAATAATCTCTTCGCAAGAATTTTAAAACGCACGTAAATGCTTTAAGGAATTTCTTAGTTTTAATAATTAATATTATAATTGCATTAAAATGCACTAAGTAAAAAATCACGTAATTATTTATAATTAAAGAATTTAAAGTTCACAATTTATCTTGGGAATTTCTTTATGAATTAAAATAAGGAATGCAAATATAAGAGGTGCCAGGTCTGAACAAGATTAACAAATCGATGTTTATTAATCCTGAAAAATTTTTACAGCAACTGGTGAACCACCACTTTGCATGAGTTGTGTAATTCCGATCGCGATACGTTATGCGTTGAACTCCGCTAGGGCAGAGGCAGGAAATAAGGATGTATGGTACCAATTAGGTAAGTCTTAAAAGTATAGATATAAATAAATTCGTGTAGTTGATAATACACGTGTAGAAGAAATTATTCACTTTTACGGTTTGCATTAATTTGTGCATATCTCTCTCTCTCTCTCTCTCTTTCTGTTCTCTTTCACACAGTCCGTAAAATCTCTTATGATATGTGTTATTATAATAAACATACTCATATATTGTTCATGATTTTTGCAGATTCACCGTACACTAATGAACTTATAATCCTAAAAAGTTTAACCAGCAAGGAGAAAATGGTACTTTAAAAGCAAACTAGGATTTGCAACTTAACTGGTGATGAAATTAAATTTTATGCTTATTGTTGTTCAATTTTTTGATTACTTTTTAGTTAGAATAAGTGTAGATGTTCTATGCGACACAATTTTTTCACCTATCTGTTGTTAATACAAAATATTCTAGAGTATAACAGGACTAAGATGATTTAGTTAATTAGGTATTAAACACAACTAAGATAAAACTTTGTTTTGTAGTAAACATTGTTAATAAATGCTCTTTACATAACACTACTGATGTGCTACAGGGAAAACAATAATGTCTGCAATATATAATTAATATAAATAATAATACACTATAAAAGGTATTGTATTAATATAAATAATAACACACTGTAAAATGTGTTGTATTGTATATACAGTCATTTTTCCAATATAAATTTTTATCCTGTTCTCAACAATGTACAGTAATGATTTTTATTATAGTAAAAACATTAATCCGACGTTTATTGTGTCTAAAACGTAGGAAAAGGGAACAAAGCAATGAAATGTGAAACGAGATTAAAGCACGCTGAAAAGTTTAATTCGCAAAATTAATTAATCCGTAAAGTATACCGAACCGTTTATGCCGCAAAATGAGAAAAAAGACTCCCGCAATAAAATTCTTTTTCCGTACCATGCGTACCATTCGTGTAACATTCCATTCGAAATAACGTTATCTACGCTGCCTTTCACGCGAAAAAAATATATGCCACGTAAACCTTTTTCTTTTTTTCAATTTTTACATTCATACATAATAAATTTATGTTAAGTATTTTAATATAAAGTGTTTAATCCATTACAAATTGTTTATTTTGACACGCATGCAAAAATTTGTGTCTTATTCCAGACATAGAAAAAACCATTTTAACTTCACTATTTATGGAATCCTAAAAATCGGTACATATTATTTACATATAATGTAGAAATTACACAATATATTCAGTAAATGAGAAATATTTCGAAAAAATAAAATAATTTAAATTATGATAGTAAAGAAATTCGAGAATTCACGTTTATAATAAAAATCTAATTATAATGTTAGAAACTATCTTAGAAACAATAAAACTTATTATGACAAAAATTACCATATTCAATTGCAAAATTTAATTATACTATAATTTTAATTATACTACAAATTTGATTATAAAACCATAATTATAATAGCGAGCTTTAGAAACAAAAGAGTTATTTGTATGGTGCAGGAGACAATTCTAACTTCTATCTTAATTTTGTGATTGCCAAATCGCTTCCAGCATCAGGATAAACATCGATTAGCATATCCTTCACGTCTACATTCGTGATTATGCGAAATTCCGGGGCACAAAAGCGATGTGCCACGAGAACAAGGGTAGCTGCGGAAATTAAGCGCAGGACAATGGCCGTGAATTCCTGTTTTGTGCGAATAGCGATCGGCAACGGATATGAGTGTAGCAACAGAGAAATTGCACAGTTGCATTTCGCAAATGTTGGATAAAGAAAACACAAATATTAAGTGACAATAATTAATGGTAGTAATTAAAATTATAAAAAACTAAAATGGATTAAACGATTTTTTTAATCGCTTGCAATACACATTTCGTTACAGGTTAAAATTATTGCAAAACATGCAGCAGTGTAAATTGGATCTAATGATAAAATAGTATTACAGTAGTAGTATTATAATAGTATTATAATATTATAGTAGTAGTATTATAATAGTCACATATTGTCAAGTGTAAAATGTGTTTGTTTGCCTCCCAGACAGTGAGGGACTACTTTCAAATATTTTTTATCAATTATCGTAACAACATGATTATTATAATGCTATTGTAACATTAGATCTAATTTTTATAGACATCGCTGCATATTTTACAAAAATTTTATGTTTGAGTATTTTCACACTAACTTTAACTTCTACCTAAACATGTATTGCGAGTGATATATGCATTTATATATTTTTTGTTTTACGCTGATAAAATATCGACCAAGAGAGAAAGAAATGACATGTTTATTGTTCGTTAGTATGATAAAGAACAAAGTTTTTAAAAACACTAAAATTTTGTCACGATCCTTCTTTTCATATGTGATACATAATTTTTACCACGTGCCTAGGTATATACGTTGTCATTGTTGTTACACTAAACTATACATTACATTGCAATATAATTCCAAGGACCTTTGCGCATTTATCGCGATAAAACACAATTTTGTTACAAACTAGGGATATTATGACAATGAAGAATATTATTACAATTATTTGATAAGAATACATGAATATATACTTGGGACACTTTAACCCATAGACATAATAAATATAGACTGAGCATCCCATTGAATAAGTTGAAGCTTGTGAAGAGAGAGACAGAGAAGATTTAAGAAGACTTTCTTTCTCTGTCTCACCATCGTGACAAAGGAGGCGCAGGCATGTTTCTTTTCTTTTACGATGATGTAAGACAGAGAAAGAAAGTCTTCTTAAATCTCTCTCTCTCTCTCTCTCTCTCTCTCTCTCTCTCTCTCTCTCTCTCTCTCTCTCTCTCTTT